TTACTGAGTTAGCCAACTGCTTTAATTGAGCTTCAGAATGAATATATCACACAACCACGCATGGAAGTAGCCTATTGTCATATGCCAATATTTTAACACAGTACAGCCACGCAACATCAGTGTCAATTTCACGAACTTGTGGCGACACATCCTGTTTTGGTAACCGGATATTTCAAAATAAAAGTCTGATTTAATTCAGTTCATATACAAAACAAACTTTTGCGTGGGAACGCAAAACAATTTTGTGAGGTAACACAAAACGTTTTGCGAGGTAACGCAATAGTACTGCGTGGGAACGCAAAAAAAAAATCAGCCCATGTCCGCTCGTGGGCTCCACAGATATCACCACAAGAAGAACTGAGAACAGCGTGTTTTTTTTTTGTATCACACTGAACAAATGACAATCAGGTATTTTACTGTAGTTCTGAGTCGAGTCACTGAATGATTCTAAAATATAAATCACACAGAGGCAGAAACACTGCRACTCGTTTCTTCACATCAGCTATTTAACAAATATTTTTCTACCAAACTCATCAGTTTCTGTGTTTACCGTCATTTATTAAAGACGTGTAAGGGTGAAAATGTCTCTCAGCCTCATGCGTCGCTGCAGCACATGCTCGTACACACCAACACACACACACACTTTTGTGTGTGGCAAACTCATTTTTACTCCATTACTTATATAGACAGTTTTCTCACTCATTCTCCATTTTAATGTATAATTTTCCTGCATCTAAAACTCATGTCTGATCCCACAGAGAGGACAATCTGAGGAGAACCTCACACTCTGGACACATTTACATCTATTTTACAGATTTAAATGGAGGCGTGTCAGGGGAGGAGTCTCAGCTCCACCTTCATTGGGATGTATAAAGGAAAGGTGCGCAGGAACCTGTGTGTGTGCACAGTTTTATACAACTGAGTTTTTCTAAATTTGTCCGTACGCCAACATTTAGTGTGAAAGCTGTGCACTCCTTTATGCACGAGGGCCCAGGGTCAGGAAACACTGCTTTTAGATATGATACAGGTGGTTTGGTCCTGAAGTGTCTCAAATGTCTACATTTGTGTTTCTGCAGACTGATCAGAGAAAAGGAAAGAGGATCTCTSAAAGACAAATTATACCCGCTGCCATCCTTTAATGCATCAAACCAACATTTGATATTTGATGCCTTCAGGTGTCAGGAGCGTTGTTGTTTGAACTCACCTGTCGGGTGAACTTGTAGCCGCAGTCGACGCACTCAAACTTCCTCATGCCTTTGTGTCGGCGCAGGTGGACGTGCAGCTGTTGCTTGACTGAAACACATGGATACAATCAGATTTCAAAGTGGCGATGGGTCCATGCAGCTCCAGTTTGGCTCAGGTCAGGATGGTACCTTTGAATGTTTTGTTACAGATGTGACAGCCGTGGGGCCGGCCCTCCTCGTGCTTGCTGGCCTTGTGTCGAAGGAGGGCGCCTTTCTCKGTGAACCGCTTCTCACAGACGTCGCAGCTGTAGGGACGCTCGCCCGTGTGCGTCCGCTGGTGCCGATCCATGCTGGCTGCTCAGAAAACACACGAAGAGAATCCGAGGAAATATCAACTCTGCCATAATTTGCTACATGATCTCCAAAAAATATTTTGCCACCAGAAAAACAGAAAGTATGAAGCAAACAGCGCCGACTGTTGACTGCGTGCAGGATCATTTCTCCCTGATGGAACACACACGGGTCAGACGGGTCAGTACCTGGTGTCCTGAAGGTTTTCCCGCAGAGGTCACACTGGTAGGGTCTCTCATTGCTGTGCATGCTCAGGTGCAAGTTGAGGTTGCTTTTCTGAGAGAAGGCGTGGCCACAGACGTTACAAACAAAGGGACGCTCGTTCCTGTGAAACAGAAATAAAACCAGGTAGCTGTGGACCGGCTCACCATCAGTTCTACAGTGTTCAAACGTAAAATCAGAACAATATAATCATTTCATTTTTACAGCCACACKTCAGAACAATATGGATGCTGTGTAAAAACATCAGTCAGAACAGAATGAAAATCCTCCCTATGACAGGATTTTTGCAGGAACAGACCCAGGGTGAAGGTTCAAAAATGGAACAAAAAGATTT